CAGTCATCCATGATCATTTAAAATTATTTCACCAAAACTAAAATGTATATATCACTTTTACAGTGCTCAAAGATGCTTTAAAAGAAAATAAAGAAAATATACACCATATAAAAAAGAAATAGTGTGTAGGCCTTTTGGACGTGAAGTCATGGTACTTGGACAATATCTGGTTCAGCATCCAATATTTAATTCATAATATCCTTGTTGGAGTATTGTCTGCATATTAAGGTATTTGTTTTCTGTGGTTTCTACTAGTGAACTTTGTCTCTCAACATGGTTTGAGAGTAGCCACCCCGATCCTGATTATTTCCTACGAGACATTCCGACTGCACACCGCGGTTCTGCACAAGGGAAAAGTTGGACTTGTCATCTGTGACGAGGTATTTACATATTCTTTAGAGCTGTGGCAGACTGATGAAACAATGATTTAACATTTATTATTGTGTGTACTGTAGGGTCATCGGCTGAAGAACTCTGACAACCAGACCTACCAGGCGCTGAATGCCATGAGTGCCCAGCGGAGGGTGCTGATATCAGGCACCCCAATCCAGAACGACCTACTGGAGTACTTCAGCTTGGTCCACTTTGTAAATGCTGGGATCCTAGGTTAGTAGCTTAAAAACAGCTATTACACATTTCTGTTATCTCTGCTGTTTTTCCTGACCCCCCCTTTTTTTTTTTCTTACCTCTTACCTGGCAGGTACAGCCCAGGAGTTTAAAAAGCGATTTGAGCTTCCCATCCTCAGGGGTCGAGATGCAGAAGCCAGTGATAAAGACAGACAGATTGGGGAGGAAAGGCTCAAGGAGCTGATCAACATCGTCAACAGGTGAGCTCAAACGGCATGCAAGGTACTTTATATGTAAAGGGGACCTATTATGCTAATGTTCAGGTTCTGTGTGTGGGAGATTTGTCTGCCTGTGTGTGTCAAATTGCACTAATTAGCTTATGTTGATTAGCATTTATCAAAAGTACTTTCTCAGCTATTGTTAAACCTGTTTTAATATTCTGCCTCTACAGATGCTTGATCAGGAGAACATCTGACATCTTGTCTAAATATCTTCCTGTGAAAATTGAGCAGGTTGTGTGTTGCAGGTATGTTGGTTCATTGTGTTTCTTGTGTTAGAAAGTTGAGAATAGGTTGTAGCCATTTTTTCATTGTAAACAAAATGTTGGTCTCATTTGAAATTGTTTTTTTTGGACATAAACATTGTTTTCAAGGAATCACGAACGATTTTCCAAAGTTTCAGCACCAATACCAAATGTGTAAACAAAAATTCAATCCTTAGATACCTTTCTTCAAACAAAATGTTTATTTACCAAATCAAGCCTATTTTTTTTATTTGACACTAGTTTATAATGCTGTCTTGAGAAAAACATGCAAACACCTTTTTTTATTTGAAATGAAGCTGATGGAAATATGGTTCCGGACACATTTCATACGGTTTTCAAAAGTATTGATCATCCAGACACAACTTTACTCTATGTCTTTGTATGAATTTTAATATTGTAAATTAGAATAATTATATTAACACAATGTCCGTTTCCCTGCAGGCTGACTCCTTTGCAGTCAGAACTCTACAAGCGTTTCCTCAAACAGGCAAAGCCCATTGAGACATTACAGCAGGGAAAAATAAGTGTCTCCTCCCTGTCTTCCATCACCACACTTAAGAAACTGTGCAATCGTAAGTGCAAACTCCAAATATATCACACTGTTGCATTTGTGGAAAATATAGCTATCACGCAAAAACACTATGCAAAGTTTACTTTTGTAGAAATACTAACTCCTCCTCTGTTTTGCAGACCCAGCTCTGATCTATGAGAAGTGTCTGCAGAGGGATGAGGGCTTTGAAGGGGCGCTGGAACTCTTTCCCTCTGGCTACTCCGCTAAAGCTGTGGAGCCTCAGCTCTCTGGTGAGAACATGTCAAAAACCACTCTGTACAAATCTGCTTTTGGTGATTACATATACTGCTGACATCCATTTTAGAAGTTGCACATTTGACAGGCCACATGAAGACAAACTGGTTTTCTTTCTTCCAGGGAAAATGCTGGTTCTTGATTACATTCTGGCAATGACAAGGTCTACAACTAGTGACAAGGTGGTGCTCGTTTCCAACTACACTCAAACACTGGACCTCTTCGAGAAGCTCTGCAGATCTAGAAGGTACTTTTTGGGGGGGAATCCACCATTTATTTGTGACTGTATTTTATTATTTTTCAGTGAGCAACAACCCTCCTCTTCTTGGTCTTTGACAGATACCTCTATGTGCGACTGGATGGAACAATGTCCATCAAGAAAAGGGCAAAAGTTGTGGAAAAATTCAACACTCCGTCTGTGAGTTTGACACTGTTTAAAAAAAGAAAGAAAAAAGGACTAAGCTTTGCGAGGCAGTTAAAGAAACTTCTGAATGTTTTATTTCTCAGAATCCAGAGTTCATCTTCATGCTGAGCAGCAAGGCTGGAGGATGTGGCCTGAATCTGATTGGTGCTAATCGCTTGGTTATGTTTGATCCTGACTGGAATCCAGCCAATGATGAGCAGGCGATGGCGCGGGTGTGGAGAGACGGCCAGAAGAAGACCTGCTACATCTACAGACTGCTCTCCGTCAGTTCAACACAGCTCATAAAATGCACTCATTGAATCCTTCAACATATTTCAGGAACATTTAAAGCTGCAGACATAGCTTCCATATTTGATTTGTGTGTTTGTATGCTGGCAGACGGGGACGATTGAGGAGAAGATCCTTCAGAGGCAGGCACATAAGAAGGCCCTGAGCAGCTGTGTGGTGGACGAGGAGCAGGACGTGGAGCGCCACTTCTCTCTGGGCGAGCTCCGAGAACTCTTCCATCTGAACGAGGAGACCATCAGTGACACACATGACAGGTATGGAAAAGAAACAGTGCAGACTTTTTTTAGAATTTCTTTTGCTGCTCAGCCTTGTGAAAAAATGTGAAACTACCTCATTTAAGATACATAGAATCTGTGCTGAAAACCCCCTGATCATACTAACTGTGTGTATTACCATACTGGTTTATATGAGTTATGGATGACCCTGTCTTTTTGATAATGTTATAGAAGTAGGTAAATATTTAAATGATAACTCACATTCCAGTGGACGGATGCAGAATACAGTGTAAATTCAAGACTTAGAGTATGCACGCTGGTGTGAAGTCTGTTTTAACTATTCACACATCAGAATCAGAAATACTTTATTGGTCCCTGAGGGAAATTGAGTTTTGTAAAAGTAAAGTAAATAAAGAAGAATACCATTTCTATAAACATCTGTTTTAGTGATTATATTGTAAACAAAGTATATTACTGTTAACTGTTCAACTGCTTGAATTATTAAAAAATATATATAATTGTATAGCTACATTTCAATTATTTTTTAATCATTATGGTTTTAATTCTATTGTAGCTTATGTGATTTATATTGTTTATTTATAGTCTATTAAATGTAATTATATTGTGTTAAATCAGCTACAATCTAATTTAGTATATGTAGGTATTATTATTACAATTAGTTACAATGATTGTATTCATTGTAAGTAAACTAAGTCCAACTGACAGAGAGCAGATCTGACTGTCATACAGAAACACACCGTAGCTGAATTTGTATATATTTACAGACATCAAGAAAAACAGACCCAGTACTGCCTCTTTCCTTTATTTTGTTTACGCCAAACACACAAATGTCCCCATCTGATCACTTCATATAACAGCATCTTCCTCGGAGATCTGATCTGAGCCTGCAGCCTCAACATTGCCACACTGTATGTAATGTGCTAATCGGCCTCTCTTCCTCCCTCTTGTGTTTCTGTCAGGTTTCGCTGTCGCCGCTGTGTGAACGGCAGGGAGGTCCGGCCTCCTGCAGAGGCCTCCGACTGCACCAGTGACCTCTCCCAGTGGAACCACTGCTCTGACAAGAAGGGCCTGAGGGACCAGGTGTTGAAAGCCTCCTGGGACGCTGCCGTCTCATTTGTCTTCCACCAGCGCTCTCATGAGGACCAGAAGGGCGTAGTATAGCAGGAGGGACTAAACAGACTTTATCAAAAGACTACATGTACCGTTTGTGCTGATATTTATTTGTTATTCTGTTTTTTTAAATGAAAGAGAGGAGCAGGATTGGTTATCTTTCTGTTGTGAATCCAGTAACTTCTGCACATAAACAACTACACTTCCTGGATTTGAACACATTTTAATAGCACATGCACACAAGTACCAGTACGTTTTAGTACTTCATGCAGGCGACTAGTGCCGATATAAGTCGGTGCATGATTGTGTGTGCGTGTGTCTCTCTATACGAGTGCCGCTTCATTTACCATCATCAGTGTTTTCAATGTAGATTCACTGTACACGGGTACAAGTGGAAAGTTATAAAAAATATAATAAATGTTTTTCAAATACAAGGTTGCCTACACATCACCTTCTTATTAGAGTCTGAGACCACTTACTGCTGTAACTCCTATAGGCATTGTTCGATCGGCCTGAAACGTCCCGCGTTTGCTATCGGCCGACACCGGAAAGCATTGCATGACGCGTCAACATGCGGACAACAGCGGACCTGCACCGAGCTGCTTGCAGTTTTAATTCATACTGTTTATTAAAAGTGTCAGACATTTGATTTGGAGTCAGTCCATCTCTTTATGAATGTGACATTTTCCCATAAATAAAATGAACTGTACAAAAAAAACAAATATCTTTATTCAATACCTTTTTAAATGAATGCAATTATAGAATAGCAGAACAAATAGAACCAATGACAAATGTATAGTTTATTCTTCTGATTCACACAAAGAACAAGATAATTAAATATCATTTTAATCGTTCCAGTTTGCTGGATATATTCAACGTTAACGAAATTAAACAATAGGAAGTTCAAGAACATAAACCTTGGATCTATAAAAAGAAAACAATGATGCTGCATCGCTGCGGTAGGTGGCGCCATATACCTTTCATCTTGGTTGGTCGACCGCCATTAAAACTAGAGAAATAGAAGAGCCGGTGACTGTATTGTTATTGCTATATTACATCCATTGGTGAAGTAGCTGTAACTCATTATTTGCCAACCACAACGTGAAGCAAAGGGACCAGAAGCAGACGGAACCAGGGCTGTGTCCCGGTAGTTGGTTAACGTTTCAAACAGCATCGTAATTAACGACGTTGTAAATGAAACACACATAAATGCTAGCAATGGGGGACACTGCCCGCAAAGCAGACCAAATAAACCGAAAGGATGCATGTCTCACTTTAAAGGAGATATGTTTCCTAGCTGTCCGGGAACATTATGCTGCTCTGGGCTTTGAGGCTGTTATTGGTAAGTCGTGTTGAATAACAGGGAGTTGGCTAACATGACACTGTTAGAAGCTAGCATGTAATTTACCTTCGCTTATGTCACATATCCCATACAGCTAGCACCTCATTTACTTTCGCTAACTTTAATATCCCCATAAGTAAAGCCAACCAGCTAACAGTTTACGTTAAATTGAACTCCATTCAATAAACCTGCAAATGGCAATATTGTTATTGGTTGTATTAATTATTTTTAGGACGGCAGTGGTAGAATGCAGTTAAGTACATTTACTGAAGTATCGTACTTGAGTACAATTCTGAGGTACTTGTACTTTACCTGAGTAATTTCATTACTCCACAACATTTTAGAAGCCACAAGTACTTTTACCTTTAGTACTTATTTAGATGCCATTTAGAATGCAGGAATTTTACTTGTAACAGAGTGTTTTCACAACCAAGTATTGCTAGTTCTAGTTATACTTAAGTATGACATCTGAATACTTCTTCCACTACTGAAGGATGGTACATATCCCAAACTAACATTCAAGGGGACCCCCCCCCCCCCCCCCCCCAAAAAAAATCCACTCAAAGTTGTCAGACTTGGCTTTGTGTGTAACGGATAGGTTGACGTAAAATAACATTTGACTGTTTGCACTGCCCTTAATAACATTACTTCGAGTACTTTAAAATAAACGTTACCAAGTTTGGTATATAATTGTTATGTTAACTTGTAACGTTACTCTCTTCTTGTACACCTCACAGTACACATGTAACATCAATTCACTTCCTGGTCCCTCATTGATGATTCCAATTCACTTTGAAAGATAAATCTATGCTAAAGTTGTATTTTGTTTTGTAACTGTATACAGATCTACCAACGCCTCTCATTAAGGGTCTTCTTCTTCATCTGACTGTATGCCAACTGGATGAGCTCCAGCCTGCCCTAAACAAGAGAGGTACGAACTGAGGAAATGTACATTTCCTTTGTTCACAGAAAGTGTACTTTTGTTTTGATCAGAATTCATGATTAAGATTCTATTTTCCACTTTCTCTTTGCCTTGTTTCAGGTATATCAACTCATGCCGGATGGATCGGAGTCCTACAGGAAATGCGTGGACTTAACCATGTAAGTACAATGGCTTCTTTGATTATCTCGTATAGTAACAACCAGAACCCGGATGTAATATGTATCCTGTGTTTCATTTCAGGCGATAAACTTCCACACAGAAGAAGAGGCCAAACATGAAGTTATGAGAATTATTTTCACTCTAGTATTCTACGGCTACACCAGCCAATTTGTCCAGAAAAACATCACACATTTGAACACCCCATCCTTCCTGTTGGCTGCAGCCAAATGTATCAAATATTTTTTACTCGATACTCCAGTTGAAAGTTTAACTTCTGAACGACGGCATCTTCTGAAGCTCTTAGAGAAGGGTATCAGGACGGTTTGTGTCTCAAAGTGCATGGATCTATCAGACAGGAAGACAGATTTGTACGTCCTCCATCGCCTGCTAGACCACGGGGTTGCTAAGAAAGTTGTTATAGATGTGAAATGTTCCCTCATGCTGTCCTGGATTCTACTCAACAGGGGATCTCAGTTTGTAAGCCCTGAGCTCAGGTCCCTAATGCAGAGAAAAATGGCAACATGTAACTTACAAGCCTATTCAGCCATTGCAGACAGGGCCAGTTGCGGTTTATGCATCAAGACTGCGGCTTCAGAGGATCAGGATAATCACGTTGTTCCCTGCAAACGTTTGAAGTTGGATTGTGTCGAGGAGAAAGAATGTGGAAAAGCCAACCTTGATGTGGACCTGAAGTTTCTCTGTCAAACCTTCGCTCCGCGTGAAGGGCCCTCAGCAGGGGCCTGTCCGTGGGGACAGATCGAAAGTCTGGAGATCAGGAAGTGTGTGTCGGACACCTTCACAGTGCTTAACAATGCCCTGCCCACATGTTTCTTCCTGCGCTCTCTAACTCTTCACAGCATTAGTAAGTGTCTCAAAATGAATAATAATTTAAGTTTATGAACAAACATCCAACATTGGTAGCAGTGGATAATTAATGGTGCCCTTTGTTTATCCTTGACAGTACCTTAAACTCCATTTAAATATGTTCAGTATGATGACAGTTCAATGTCCCAAACTTGCCCTCAAGAAGTTCCCCTAAAATCTCCAAATGTTCAGCTTTGTGTGTAGAACAGTTGGATGTTAGCACATTGTACGTGATAGGCACGGACAATGTGCAACAGAGCCGGCCAGCTAACCAATCAGAGCAGACTGGGCTCTGGTTTCAGACAGAGGGTGAAAAGAGGTGCTGCAGCACAGGCAGTATGAGAACATTAAAGCATGGAAACATGTCACAGTACAGACACAACATACACATATGAACCTGAAGATGAGCATAATATGTCCTCTTTCTAGATATTATGTAAAACAACTAACAATATCAAATGTTGTCTGATAAAGCTGTTAACAAAAACAACATTAAGTCAAACAAACATCTGAAAATGCAGATGAATGCACAATAAAGGTGCATCTTAATCTTGACATTGAACTTGTTGTTGAATGTTGCTGTACTGAATCTATTGAACAAAGTTGAAGATAACCTTACTGTCACAATAGTTAAACCTGACGTATTAGTGTGCAGGAAATTATTGTGTTTCTGTGTGTGTCTGCAGCTTCATTCAGAGATGCGGATGTGCTGGGCCTGGCCAAAGCCCTGAAGACGCTGACGGAGAGCTGCCGCAGCTCCCTCACGGAGCTCAGCGTCAGCGTGCTGCCCTACGCCGGGCTGCTGGAGTTCCTGCTGGACGCTAACCCCCACCTGACCTCCCTGCACGTGGAGATCCAGACTGCCATGTTGGGATCACGCCTCTTACTGCGTCACCCCGGAGCTGAGGATCCAGACATGCCAGGTGCTTTGAAGCTGCTACCAAATGAAGTAATATCTAAGTAGGCAGAAAGTGTATCACACCTGTTGAACCAGCCAAGAACTAAGAAGGGCTGCACGATTTGGACACAATAAAAAATGGGGATTATTTTGGCTGATATTGGGAAAAGGATATAGGAAGTATTGATTGTTTTTACATCATTATTCTCATCCTTGAAAAATATTTGATATCTCTTTTGTTAAGTTTGTAAAATACTATTAGTACGCCTGAATGTCTCTGAAATTCCAGATTCAAAATTGCATTTGAACAGATATTCTGCCTTTAACAAATAGGTGCTTCCCGCTTTATGAATATCAAAATTTCAATTACATTTAAATGAATTGTGCAACAAATCCTCTACAGGTTGAGGGCAGAGTAACTTCAACATTAGAGAATGTTTTAAACAAGAGACGGTCATCACATTGTACAGATGAAAGAAAGCAATGTAAGATAACCATTAGTTTTTTTCTACAAATGCAGTGTTTATTTTTGGTAGTTAAACCACTTTACAGTCAATCAGAAGTTAAAAAGTTCAGAAAAACTTTTTTCGAAGATAAAACTAAGGCAAACTTAGGAATTGCACCCTCTGAGGTGACCGTTTGCTGTCCTCCACAGAGCTGCCTCTGCAGAAGCTGTCAGTTAAAGTGGCTGAGCTCCAGCTGACAGATCTGCACTTCATCACCAATGTTCTGAGACACTCTCCTCATCTCACCTCGCTCCACATCGCGGGGATGAGGTTACCAACTGGCTCCTCTCAAAGCCTCCTGCTCAGCACTCTCTCAGGTAATGTCCTGTCACTGTTAGCTCCTGAAAGGCACAAAGCGCCAGGGCACGGAGGCTTGATAGAGATCTAAGTCAATACAACTAAGATACATTGACATCTTGACTCATGAGTCTGCTCACATGGTAACAAAAAAAGGCCTAAACAAGGGCTTCTATATGAGTATTGTATGTGAACAAATACTGAGCACCTGTTTTAGGTCATATATGTGCCCTAAAGAACACAAGTATTTATTTATAGTACAAAGATTTACATCTTTTTTATTGTCTTTTTTCCTCATTTATTGGTTATAAGTTAAATATAGAAACACAACAGCCTTATCTTCATAGATCTGATTAAATGTTATATTAACTGCTGCTGATATTCTGAAACGTTAACCACGCGAAAGCCCGACTGATTCAGTTTTTTTAAGGTTCATACTGATACTGATTAGTTAGTTTATAAAACCTTTCAAATAATATTTGTGCCTGATCAGTTGATCTGACTAATTCTATACTAAGTCTTATCTGAAGTGCTGTCAGTAACGACTTATTTTCCACTTTTAGGCTCCAATCAGCTCCTGAGGAGTCTCCACCTCGAGGATGTGAAGCTGTCCGATTGTCTCCCTGAAATCCTGAATCTACTGAGGAACTGCAAGTTGGAAGGTAAGAATACCATTTTGTAAACGTGATCCTGTGGAACACAAAAAGGTGATCAAATCAAGTTTTATTTATATAGCACATTTAAAAGCGATTTTTGGTCGAGCCAAAGTGCTGTACATGTAATAAAAACACATTACTACGATCACAATAAAAGACAATAATTGACAACAGAAATATAAAAAAAAAAACACAGGGATAGTCAGGTGTCGTGCTCTGCCTCTGACTAGAAGGCCAGAGAGAAGAACGTGTGTTTTTAGTGAGGATTTAAAAACCCCTAGTGTTGGCCGACCTCACATGGAGGGGCAGAGGGTTCCAGAGCCTGGGGCCAGCTGCTGCGAAGGCTCGGTGCCCTCGGGTTTTAACCTGTGATAGATTTGTGAACAAAACTAACATTGCTTTTTATTTAAATTAAATACATAATAAATATTTCACATCAAAAGAAACAACAACGTTTTAACAAATCGTATTAAATAATCTGATAACAGAACTGTAAACAGAATAGCTGAAACTTTAACAAACTAAATAACTCTGATACCTCTAATCATTAACCCATGTATGTATAATTTTGTTAACTCTGTGTGTTGCTGACGTGGAAACGTTCCTCGTGGATGGGGCTACAGAGCTACTAGAAAGACAGTGGAACCCGGTGCATTTCTCCGTCTGGATGTGGAGCACTTTTGCTAAATGTTTAGACAAATTGCTCGTTTTACCGCCATTACATGCTAAAATCGTATTGCACTTTAGGCAACGAGCATTGTCCACATCGAGACATTTAACCACACCTCAGAGGCTTAGTTCTCTCTGCCATCTCCGCCGAGTGTGTGTGTTGCACGCATGTAGCCGCCGCGTGTGTGTGTGTTGTATTTAGCAGCCGCGTGTGTGTGTAAACTGCCCCGCCCCCTCGCACACAGAGAGGAGAGTGATGGGAATTATGGCTCTATGAAGGGAGCCGGATCTTATGGCTCTGTTCCTTTCAAAGAGCCGTTCAAAAGAGCCGTTTTTTTAAAGGGGGCGGGGTTACTAGGTTTATCTGCGAAATAGTCACCAGTCAATCAATGGCCAAATTAGTTGCCAACTAATTCAGTCGTCGATTCGTTGGTGACGTCATCACGTGTGTTTTTACGTGCCGTTAAGCTCCAACGTTATCGGTCTTTTTATCGGTACTGGAGAAATTTAAAACATATGTATTATTGCTACATAAACATTATATTGTTTCTAACATGCAAAAAGTCAAAAAAATGCATCTCTATATTTACGATCTTTCCAATCCAGACGAGAGATCTCTCTCTAGTGATGT